TCTAATAGTTTTTCTTCTAGCTGCATCACCATAATAATCGTTACAACACCTCTCTAAAACACTTTTGGAGAAACCTACAGATTTATTAGCTCGTTGATGTATGTTAGCCGGCCACTAACGGAACTCACTTGTCTCTCTCTGCCTTGGGTCTCATTTCTCGGGCCCTGACAGCAGCTGTATCAGCTAGTAGTATCGGCGGATAGTGCTGCCGGCAAAGGCAAAGAAGCCTGGAACGACCATTTCTGGCTTATTACTCTTCGTCAGCAGGTCATACTATCTGCATTTACTACTACCTGCTACGGCTGCTGTCAGGGTCCGAGAAATGAGGCCCAAGGCAGAGCGGGACAAGAGAGTTCCGTTAGTGAACGTTCATCAACGAGTGTCGCTATCTCCCAACCTAAAAACGGCAAGACAATGCATCCGTGGGTCGATGGTTAGAGCGTTAGACTCTGATCAAAAAACGGTAGCGAGCTCGAGCCTCGTGTAGGGCACCACTTGGAGCTGGATATGACTGGCTGCGGACGGCTAATAAGCCAGAAATGGCCATTCCAGTCTCTCTGGTCTTCGCTGGCAATATTATCCGCCTAGATTTATGAGCGTTGATTTCATCCTATTTACGAGGTGTAGTCACACTCAAAGTCCAAGCCAACATCCATTTGTATTATGCCACCAAAACAACAGCAGATCATATCTAAACGAGTACACACTATCTCCCGTCTGCGCATATTGTCAAAAAAGACTCCTTAATAACTGTTGTATTAAACCCGCTTTTCGTAGTGGCGATTTTGTAGTACTACTAAAGAACGTTTTAAGGAGCAAGACGGTTTCTACCAAAGAATCGCGCCTGTTTAAAACCTGCAGTACTCGGTGAGAAAAAGGCGCGTATAACAGTTGAATTAAATCATTGTTAACCTGAGTCGGAGTATCTGTCATTTACGGTTGTTTGACATTCACTGTTAAACCCCGCAGGGCTTAGTCACCAGCGAATTGAACGGTCTTAACAGTATCACGAGACTACCAAGCAAATACACTTTTCTTTCACCAGCACAACGTCTTGCTCGAACCAGTAAAGAAAAAAATTAAGGAGTTGCATCAACTGCGTATTGCATAGAAATGCTAATTAAATGAAATGGGACCAGTAACATTACCCAGAAGCGAGTTCAGAGCTGAAACTGGCTGTCAGGGACTGCATATAAAATACACCCAACAATTTGCTTTTTTCGGAGTCTTCATTTACACGATGTGGAATGCAGAGGATCGCACTAGTACGAGTGCATTCTTGTATTATTTCATCTACTACTATTCATAAACCTGACACTGACACCAACCTGCGTGGAATTTAGCGCAGGGCCACCAGCAATACGAGGTGGGGTGCACATTCCTGTGACCTGCGCTTGACCTTCTGTCTCGTGGGAGTTTTGTTTAAGTGCGTGGTTTGATTTAGGCTTGGTAGTCCCCTCTAATCAAAGGACACTGGAATCGGTCAAAGACAGCAGAAGCCTGACGCCTACAATGCCATATGGGAACGCAATCAAACGTATTTGGGCCTTCTTTCAGTCGGAAAATCTGAATACATATGCAGTCTGAGTTATCTAATCTCATTTAAGCGTTGCACACTTACTCCATTTATGAGACTTATGATGATAACGTTTGCAACTCAAGAACGTTGCCCACCAGCAAGTTTTATTGAATAATGTGAAATGAAAAACTTTCTTACTTTCCACACTTTTTAACCAACCGGTGTTTTTTGTAAGGATAGAAAAGAAGGCGTGATTCCCTACGGGGTTTCTCCTGAAGATTCGTCTTTCATATTTCCCGACAAATATGTGCACATGTGTCGTGGGCTTTTTGTGAGGCATGCGTCCAGTCATCAGTGTTTTTTTTAAATTCAATCGAAAGACAATACAGCGAACTCTTCGCGTTCTGGTTCGAACCAGAAAATCGCAGGTTCAAACCTAGGGTGGTTCACTACCCGGGGGTTGACTGGCTGATGGCAGCTAATAACAAGTCATACATAGTCATTCTAATCTCCCTGGTCTTTGTCAGTAGTGTCTTTCTTCTCGTACAATGTCAGCAGCTGAGCGGTAGCTAAGGCCTCGAGGAAGCCCCGAGGCAC